ATCGCTTGGTGGTTGAGTGTTCATGTCAATCATATGTGTTGTTTTCGTGATTCAATCAGAGTGGTTGACATGTGGATTGTCTGCATTGTGCATTGACAGAAGTCTCATCGACAACATCAACAACAACAACAACAGATATATCATGTGTTTGTGGATCGATAGTACACCGGGGTGTAATCTGTCATCATGAGATTCACTTGGTGTCTGTGAAAATTATTTCCGTCGACCGGTTATTGTCTTCACATAAGGTGAAATATACTCAAAAGATTTCTCATGTTGACAACCGTAAATGCTTAGAAATGATGACAGGAATGTGGCTCTCTCGATTTGCATTATTTCGTATTTCATCAATATGCATTCGATATTTTGTTGTCCTTCTGCCTACACTATATTTTGAATGCTCATCAAGGTGAAATTACTGTTTATATGTCGGTAAATATTTCTTGTTTTATCGTAGGAATACCTTATGTGACTATTTGTCTGATATGAAGATATGTATTGTGTGCTTTTTATGCAACATCAGCTAATGGTTATTGAAAACTGGTACGGTTTGTGTAGCAGATGTTCGGTCTAGTAATTCAGGCTCTGCGGATCTCACCTACAACGTTGCCTGGTTGACTTGCTCGCTTATCGTGTAGGCGGTCGCAATCCCGGTTAATGAAGAAGGTTTTGGCGTGAGTCTAGTGACAATACAACACAAAATCTATCAAACTGCTACAGAAACTCCAAAGACTGGGAAGGCTGCTCAGTTAGCAAATGGAATATGAAGATATTGCATAGGCGTCCTGGAAGTCCACGAGAGCAGATGGAATGCATGTGGACTGTCAAAATTGTCCATTGAAGAGTCAGTAATCTACTCCGGTCTCGTCACTCAGACGACAACCATGAGCGCACTGAGGCAGTCGGCGATTATCATGATGTCACCAGTGGCAGGTAAAGCACTAATGCAGTTGGGAAACAAACTCCTCACTCTAAATTCAAACAACATCGCGTTATTCGTGCGAATTAAAATATGTGGAAATTTCCACGAAGTGTTTTGTGTTCGATGGAGTGAAAATCAGATTGTAAAATGTTGTGTTTACGAGTGTTCAGAGTTACTTGTTTTTAACACGTAATGATCCCGGGGAAGATTCTCCTGAATTCCTTAATGATCCATGGGAATGAGCAAGGAAAGCAAAGACTAAGAAAGTGAACAGGAAAGGAAACCGTATTTAGTCTGTAGTGAGCCTGTGAGTAAACCCTAGAGGTTTGGAATACAGTGAATCTATGTTATTCTAGTTAACTGTCTAGTTCACAGCTTCAGATATGTAGAAAGGGGTAGTCGATAGACGGAATTCGATGGATACACTTAGTACATGAAGCATTATTGACAAGGCTATGTACATTATTTTTGAATTCTTTGCGCTCACTGAATGTGCTTAAACACAAGTTAGACAGAAAAGTCTAGTAACAAGAATCTGTGGGAACAAACTAGCCGGAGCCGATTGCTCAACAAATTTGTCGGAGGAAATGGAGGTGGACCGAGCATAGATTGAATGAGCCGTCGAATGGCATTGCGCACCAGGCTACTGAAAGTAATCTCAATAGGAAAGGACGAGTGGTCGTCCTAGGCTGACATGGAGGAGATCGTGTGAGGAGGAGATGAGAGATTATGGTCAAATATGTTCCAAGCTGAAGAGGATGGTAGAAGATAGGATAACGTGGAGATTTGTTGTTAAAGACCAGTGTTCCATTTGGAACACAAATGAATAATAATAGTAAAACATGGGGTGACAGAGAATAATGACAATAATGTTGTGAGGTAAACTAAGTGGAAGGGAGCAGGAAGGAAATAATAAGGCGTGAAAATATTCAGTGACTACTGTTATGACTGCTTTAACCCTTAAAGACCATCGCAAATTTGTTATTTCTGTGCCTGCTAATTGGTAATAAGGGTAATGAAACTGACTGGTACCCTAATGTGCCTATTTGCCCGTTGTACCTTCCAATTCACAGAGCCACGCAAATATCAAAAGATAAAGGCTGGCCTCTGACTGTAAGATGCTGCACTGTACATTTATTGGGAAAAAAGCCTGTTATTTATGCATTCACTTTACAACTGTAAAGTCGGCCTCGGAGTCGCGGGAAATGAATGATAGTATAGCCATTCACAATACGCATTAGAAATGATTAATCGCACAATAAATCACAACACAAGTGACGAGGGACGATATACAATTTTATGTGGGTTCCTATAAATTACTTACCTGACAAACTTATGGTAGGCCCACCTAAACATAGATATTAAATGCACACTTTGGATGCATTCGTAAAATCTGTCCTCATCGATCCCTATAGCTTCAGGTATGCTAAGAAGACGCAATCACGTACATTTAGGATGATTGTTTAACACTCGACATACTGGAGCAGGTACCACTTGTAACTTGACGCGGTGCCCACTATCCACCGAATGAGATATCATGGCACTATTTATTGACATGGTTGCGGTTTGTCCAAGCCAAAGTGACACATGTTCACAAGTGTGTAAATACTAATTCCGACGAGTACTGCATATAACTAACTCTAAGTAGCAATTATATTTCTATACACACATTGAAATGTTCCTCATGAATAAATTCCCTTAAACAGTGAATTCATATACACATAGTACGACAGTGGTTCAAAGTGTCAGGGGACTGTAGAGTGATTCGCTTAAAGCCATTTTATGTCGTAGAACTGAATTTCCAAACGACGGAATCAGCTTAACCATGGGAAAAATGAACTGATAAGAAGTTACTGATATCGTAACAACAGAAGACAAGCGCGAGGCGACAGATCCTTTATTAAGGAAATCGAAACATATCTACAGATTTTCATGCACATATTATAGATTATTGTGAGCAGAAAAACACAGTCCACTGATTGGTCGTTTCTCACAGAAGGCTAACCTTGCATCTCTTTGTGGCTGTTTCTTGAATTTCAGATAATCTACATGTTAACTGTATCCGCCTAGGTAAAGCCTTTGTTCCCACCTTTCTCACGAGAAATATTAGAGACAAAACATTGACGTAAATTACTGTCCACCAATTTTGACTAACAACCAGCTCTCACCACAATATGATCGTATAATTTGCGAAATAAAGCATTAGAAAGACAAATACCGCGATATGATATCCTCTCGTAGTTCTCCTGCAATCCTTCCACTACCAGCTTGATTGACGATGAAAAAATGCAGTGTTCAACAACTAATCGGTCACATGGATATCATGGAAACTGATAGTGCTATAGTGGGAAGGCCTCTTGAAACCTGTTACCGCATATATCAACGGCGAAGTTGGAGAAAGAAATGGAATGTGTTCTGGCGAATTCAGTGCTTTATAAACATCTTGTCCATAACACACTCATTATCTGTAAGAATAATGAGTCGATGAACACCTCAATTACTCTGTGTAATCGTATTCATCCAAATACTCGAGTGATTTCAGAATTCGAACTGAACAACAAATTGGGTTTACTACACATTTTTGTGATGAGACGGAAGTACAGTACAACGTCGGTATTTGACAAGCAGCCATGTGTTGGAAAATGTCTTTATTTCAGCAGTTTCCTTCATATCCTGTGCAAAACGCTCCCCACTGAAGGGTTTGTTTTCAGAGTCACATGAAGTTTGAACGAGCGACAGATTGATGGGTGAATTACAGTGCATGCAATCAATTTTGTTGACTGGTGGATATTCTCATAACGTAATTGTATACTACAAGTGTACAGAGCAATAACGAACATGGGTCTCTTGAAAGGACGGCTTGCGTACAAAAGTTTAGCTTTACTGAACTACCATTCAAGAGTGATGAAATCATGCACTTAACAGCTGGAAATCTCCGGTCACTTGTAATGGGCATAGTCTATGCCTCGTCGCTTTTCCTTCCATCCCGAGCACTTCCAGTTTGCGTGTCTACGAATAAACAATAAATACATTCGACTCCCCTTCACACTGCACCTACAAGTTCAACTGCAGTTGCGGTGACATATATAAATAAAAATATAATAATAATAATATATAGTTCCAATAGAATGTTCCTATGTCGTCGGATATGACATGTTATCAAGTGTATTTTAATTCAAATGAAAAATCCAGATGCACTCAGCCTGTAAGCAAGTCAAACATCATACACTCACTTCAATGCACCTGTTGATGTCTGGTCTCAAAATCAATATTAATGATGGTTTCTCAGTTATCTCGCGTTACTTCAATTCAGGGATGTTTTAAGTGATTCAAGCACTGTGGATTGACCACATGCATCCAAAACTATGTGTAGGGAGAACAACAGAACTCAAACTTTGCTTACCATTAGCTAATTGACCCACTAAATCTCGATCGATTTTCAATATTCACATTTATCTTCATGTATCTGGTTAATTGTCAGATATTATATTTCCTATTGTTAGCCACGTTAGTAGTAAGGCGATCGCAGAGAAACTACGAAATGATATTATTTCTGAATATTTGTCCTCTTCCTAAACTAACGGATATCGATTTTGTTGCCCGCGATACCTTGCAGCTCGACTGTCGAATCAATAAAATCAGTGTTTGTTTTCAAGGCATACGTGAGATTTTATGTTGACAAGGTGTCATTGGATTGAAACGGGATTCAGACTTGATACTCTCAAATTTGACACTACAAGTAGACATACACATGCATTCTGATGATGCGAATTTATGTCTATTTGAATTGGGAATTCTCAATAATCCTAATGTCTTGTGATTTCCCTCAAAGTGTTGAAGCCCAAGAGTGTTTGAATATGCGCGCAATTTTCGGGTACATAGGAACAGCGACTGACACTGAAAAATCTACTCTTCTAATTACGGTTCGGCGACAGATTATTCGGAGACGCATCGGAGTAATTGTCACCTCAGTTTAACACATCAACAATGAGAACAACCCTAAGGCAATGGAGTTAGAATCTGTATTCACTGAAATGTTCCATTTATTTTTACATCATAAGACATCATTCATGATGGTGAGTTTATCGGATGCTGTATCACTTTCCTCCAGCTGATGCTTTCTTCTTACGCAGAGTGTCCAGAACGTAGCTGTCGATTTTGCCTGACAACGCTTCCATAACTTTGGCTCTGGCCTTCTGGAATTCAGGTGAAGATTTGATTTTTTGCAGTTCAGCCTTCTCCTTCTCACTGGCAGCTGTGAATTTTCAAGGAATGAGAAGAAATAGTAAAAAACAAGTGGATGAAACAGTTAGTATGTTGAAAAACATCTTCACAAAATTCTTTCAGTGTTTAAATGAATGAAATTCAAGTGCACAAGACACACATGATGAACAGATATGGAAAATGTGTAAATCTGTCACGGTTATTCAGGTGACCAACGAAGTGAATCGACGCACTAAAGAGAAGTGCTTGAGTAATCACTCTGTGCAAAGTCATTGTGTGTGTATGGACTTAGACAATTTCAAGTGAGTCACACTAACTTACGTTCGACGGTGCAAAGTAGATTCATGGAAATGAAGATACACACGAGCAGAAATGTGGTCTGAAATCGAGGAGAGTGGGAAATATTATTTGAGTAGAATTGAAACCATCAATTTTGAAACTCCACTACATGTCATTGACAACTTATGGATGATGTCAAAACCCGTGTTACTGGAGTCATCTATAGGCGAAGACAAACTAGCCGAATACACACTCATTGAATGAAGTGAAAGTGAGCACAGTGATAAGTCGTCAATATGAAGCATAACTTATATCCTGTGAAGACTGTTTGCGTTACCTTTGGTAGGAGGCCTACATGCTGCATGGTATACGAAACATGGGATAGCTTTGAAATTCTTTTGACTCAATAAACACATTGGCGCATGTATTTAATTAGGCACAGAACTATCTGTGCACACTTACATGCATTTCAACGATGATTAGGAGGCTCTGTCACTAAATTGTGCTAATTTGTTTCCCTTATATAGTACAAGGCTTGACTTTGTTGTGATACATTGACCCAGTAACCCTCTGATTAATTTCCCTATCGAGCATAACTGGACACTTTCTCACCTTTCAAGCGAATATGGATTTCGCATGCTGTGAGCAGTGCATTCTCTCTGGAAAATAACTATAATCAATTCACGCGTTTAGCTGTCTATCGATCAGTAAGTTTGAAGTGATCAGAACTCTCGATAATGTGTGAATCCTCTCAGGAGAATAACAAATTAATAAAGAAAAGTAGATTCGTATGTCGTCTGGTACATTTCTCTAAGCATATTCGATCATTAGATTTTCTTCTCATGCTATCTGTCAGCTGAGCTGGAACTCGGCTACATGAGGAGAATTCGAATCCAAACCAATTGGCTTACTTGTACTGTTTGCGTTCCCCTGCTAATACAACTTGTTGAGATAAAACATCAACGTTGATATGATTGTGTCCAATAAGTTGTGGATTCTCGCGTATTTCTGCATAAAGTGTGAGGATTCAAATCAAGTGAATGATGGAGTGGATTTTGATATTTACCTCATTGGAAAGTAAACGATTATCATTTAAGATTACACCTTGATTCCACACCGTATTTTTTGTACTGATATGGAATTTTCAACATGTGATATCGGTAGCTTGAATTCCATACGCATTTAACATATGTGTATGAAGGCGACAATTGAAGATGAGGTGAAACACCTCACTACAAGAATTAAAAAAATACCACACAAGAGTCAAGCAAACATCTCTGCCAACTGCGTTAGCCTGAGAAGAGGGCATACAAATAGCCTTCCATTTGAGGGGTGATCACCACATTGTGATCGCCAGACAACACCTCAGAGTAGCACTCCATACAAAAAAATGTGCAGCTAAAATCATTTTTGCTTGTAAGATCTAAATTTGGTGTTGTGTTGATCTTCACATGTTACTAAATATGATGTTAAATTCCACTGTGTTTGCCAATTTACACTTGTGTGTGCTAGCGTGTAAATAGGAAGCACCTATCAAACTCTGCTACAGTATGTCGAGTGTTAAACAATCATCCTAAATGTACGTGATTGCGTCTTCTTAGCATACCTGAAGCTATAGGGATCGATGAGGACAGATTTTACGAATGCATCCAAAGTGTGCATTTAATATCTATGTTTAGGTGGGCCTACCATAAGTTTGTCAGGTAAGTAATTTATAGGAACCCACATAAAATTGTATATCGTCCCTCGTCACTTGTGTTGTGATTTATTGTGCGATTAATCATTTCTAATGCGTATTGTGAATGGCTATACTATCATTCATTTCCCGCGACTCCGAGGCCGACTTTACAGTTGTAAAGTGAATGCATAAATAACAGGCTTTTTTCCCAATAAATGTACAGTGCAGCATCTTACAGTCAGAGGCCAGCCTTTATCTTTTGATATTTGCGTGGCTCTGTGAATTGGAAGGTACAACGGGCAAATAGGCACATTAGGGTACCAGTCAGTTTCATTACCCTTATTACCAATTAGCAGGCACAGAAATAACAAATTTGCGATGGTCTTTAAGGGTTAAAGCAGTCATAACAGTAGTCACTGAATATTTTCACGCCTTATTATTTCCTTCCTGCTCCCTTCCACTTAGTTTACCTCACAACATTATTGTCATTATTCTCTGTCACCCCATGTTTTACTATTATTATTCATTTGTGTTCCAAATGGAACACTGGTCTTTAACAACAAATCTCCACGTTATCCTATCTTCTACCATCCTCTTCAGCTTGGAACATATTTGACCATAATCTCTCATCTCCTCCTCACACGATCTCCTCCATGTCAGCCTAGGATGACCACTCGTCCTTTCCTATTGAGATTACTTTCAGTAGCCTGGTGCGCAATGCCATTCGACGGCTCATTCAATCTATGCTCGGTCCACCTCCATTTCCTCTGACAAATTTGTTGAGCAATCGGCTCCGGCTAGTTTGTTCCCACAGATTCTTGTTACTAGACTTTTCTGTCTAACTTGTGTTTAAGCACATTCAGTGAGCGCAAAGAATTCAAAAATAATGTACATAGCCTTGTCAATAATGCTTCATGTACTAAGTGTATCCATCGAATTCCGTCTATCGACTACCCCTTTCTACATATCTGAAGCTGTGAACTAGACAGTTAACTAGAATAACATAGATTCACTGTATTCCAAACCTCTAGGGTTTACTCACAGGCTCACTACAGACTAAATACGGTTTCCTTTCCTGTTCACTTTCTTAGTCTTTGCTTTCCTTGCTCATTCCCATGGATCATTAAGGAATTCAGGAGAATCTTCCCCGGGATCATTACGTGTTAAAAACAAGTAACTCTGAACACTCGTAAACACAACATTTTACAATCTGATTTTCACTCCATCGAACACAAAACACTTCGTGGAAATTTCCACATATTTTAATTCGCACGAATAACGCGATGTTGCTTGAATTTAGAGTGAGGAGTTTGTTTCCCAACTGCATTAGTGCTTTACCTGCCACTGGTGACATCATGATAATCGCCGACTGCCTCAGTGCGCTCATGGTTGTCGTCTGAGTGACGAGACCGGAGTAGATTACTGACTCTTCAATGGACAATTTTGACAGTCCACATGCATTCCATCTGCTCTCGTGGACTTCCAGGACGCCTATGCAATATCTTCATATTCCATTTGCTAACTGAGCAGCCTTCCCAGTCTTTGGAGTTTCTGTAGCAGTTTGATAGATTTTGTGTTGTATTGTCACTAGACTCACGCCAAAACCTTCTTCATTAACCGGGATTGCGACCGCCTACACGATAAGCGAGCAAGTCAACCAGGCAACGTTGTAGGTGAGATCCGCAGAGCCTGAATTACTAGACCGAACATCTGCTACACAAACCGTACCAGTTTTCAATAACCATTAGCTGATGTTGCATAAAAAGCACACAATACATATCTTCATATCAGACAAATAGTCACATAAGGTATTCCTACGATGAAACAAGAAATATTTACCGACAAATTCACAATAATTTCACCTTGATTAGCATGCAAAATATAGTGTAGGCAGAAGGACAACAAAATATCGAATGCATATTGATGAAATACGAAATAATGCAAATCGAGAGAGCCACATTCCTGTCATCATTTCTAAGCATTTACAGTTGTCAACATGAGAAATCACTTTAGTATACTTCACCTAATGTGAAGACAATAACCGGTCGACGGAAATAATTTTCATAGACACCAAGTGAATCTCATGATGACAGATTACACCCCGGTGTACTATCGATCCACAAACACATGATATATCTGTTGTTGTTGTTGTTGATGTTGTCGATGAGACTTCTGTCAATGCACAATGCAGACAATCCACATGTCAACCACTCTGATTGAATCACGAAAACAACACATATGATTGACATGAACACTCTACCACCAAGCGATTCTCTACCAGTCAATGACACTTCGACTCATGAAACGCAGTATATAAGGCGAAGGGATTGTCCGGTTTAGTCGTACAACTTAACGAGCAACCAACTGCTTCATAATGCATGTGAGTTATTACTAAGTGACATTCCTGTAGACTTTTGTGAAATGATGGCGTTGACGAGAGCGATGCGGCTGACACACCTTCTGTGCATTGTCCGAATGGCCTAGATCAAGTTACTCCAGTAGGCCACACTAGACAACACTCCACACCACTTCACATCACACCAAACCACACCACAAAACAACTAATTGAACACACGACATCAAAACACAAGACACTTCATCACGACACACAATTCAATTCAAAACCATGCCAAATCTCACCACACCACACCAAACCATACAATAGCATATCACTCTCCCTCTCACTTCACGTCATTTCACTTCATTTCACACCTTCAGCATGCCTCCGATTTAATCTTCAACACTAGTAATCCCAGGTGTAATTTATTCACAGTAACAATGACACGCTATTATTACACATACGCGTGTCTCCATCAACAATGCAACAGACATCTTTCAATGGGATAACTACAGTGGACTTTCAAATGTTTCCTTCTCATTTTAGGCCAAATTCCTGATCGTCTTTTCTCTCGTCTTCCTGAACATAGTCTTCTCCGATGCTGCCAACGGTAAGTTGTTATATATGTGTGGTTAGTCTCAATCGATGCATTGTGTGTATGTGATTCGATTGTGTCGTCTGTGTGTAGTCCGAAAGGTCGAGCGTCTTCGATTCGCTTCATTCTATTTCTTCGTGGATACAACTAGTTTGAATTAGTGCTCAGAATTAAGACTAGTCATGTGGATTCGACAGCCAATTACATCCTTCCAGCATTTCTGTACTACAGCTTTGACATAATTTCTCATTCGAATAGAATCGAGATTACTAAACCTGTCGACTGATATCCTGAATCACTCCGATTTGTATCTGTCCCCAGACTCCGTCAGATCAAGTGATTTCCAGAAATACCAACCAGTGCGATGCATTCACTCATGTGCAGTTACTCTTACACAAGATTGTCTGGCATTGTCTGGCACGGGGGTAGTAGTAGTAGTAGTAGTAGTAGTAGAAGCACTAGTATTATAAACCAGTGTAGTTGTGTAGAGAGAAACACACTGGTCACGGATTCTGTCATCATGTGATCGACAACAATCTAGTGTTGCAACACTGATGCCGTATGAATTCCATTATTACGAGAAGATCCATTGATAAATACGATAAGCTGTGTAGTCCTCAGTTTGTTAAGTAAGTAATATTCACGAATTGTAATTTGTGACTGCATTCATCGGATCGTCACTTGCGTTGGCTTTACGATTGATTCAGTCCTATTCTTTGCCCACTGAAACCACTATGATATGTGTGATATTGTGACTGTATGTTCTCGGGCAAATAATCGTTCCCATTTGAACTGCCTCAAGGCTTGTCCGCACTAGCCGCGCTGCATAAAATAACGTGGAATTTATTCTCACACACATCCAC